TCAAGAAACCTCAGGAATCAACTTGTAACTATTTTAGCTGAGGTGTTGGCAGAAAGAGAAGTCAGTTTTACCAAAGACACCACCGTTTGAATGAAAATTGTACTTGTTTTTCCCAAAATTCAGTAAGTTAATGTAGAAAGCTCAGATATGGTTGGTTGTTTTTGGCTCCTTCCCCTTCCATATTGAGGAGTGCCTCCTACCTAGAGCTCATGAACTCTACTGCAAGAGTTAGAAATAATGCTGTTTCTCCAAGTCTAGCTGACCACTCATCCACAAAAGGATTGATTGATTGATTGATTCATTCATTCATTTTTGAGACAGGGTCTCTCTGGGTAGTTCAGGCTGGCCTTCAACGTTCTGGGTAGTAAATGCTGGCCTCAAATTTACTGCGATCCTCCTACCTCAGCCTCCTAAGTGCTGGGATTACAGGCATGGACCACCACCTCCAGTTACCAAAGTATTTATTTAAAGAAGGCCCAAGTTAAGTGACTTCTCCAATGGATCATTTTTTAAAAAATCAGAAATAGAAAAAAAATTAACATTATTAATCTTTTTGGATTACTGTAGCTACAATAAATTTCTTTTTATTTTGAATGTCTTTCACACATGATTTCTCTTACACAAAAAACCCAAAGAATAAATAAAGAGCAAACTAAAAGATAAGTAACAGGAAACAGGGAGAGATCTCTTTGAAAAGAGGAGGGGACCAAGAGATGCAGGAAAGGGAGGAAGCGGAGGGGAAGGAGATGAAAAAAGAACTGAGATATGTAATGTACATGTACCACCTCCCTACAAGGTTTGTGATTCTGCAAACATGTACTAATTAACAGTTAAAAATTGAAAAAACCTGCAATGGGGAAAGGACGAAAGAAGGGAAAAGGAGAAAAGACATAAATTTGTGTATATAAACGTAAGATAGCTAAGATGACTGTACTACTAATTCCTTTAGTTCTGGGAAATGAACAGTTAATACTCATGATTAGATCAACTTTGCACGTCTGTATCTGGTAATCTAAGCAGTTCTTTTGAAGGTAACAATTTGCAGTATCACAACCATTGTTAAATTCCTATCATCTTGTTTTGAAAACCTATACTGTTACTGTTTTGGGTTTGTTGTTGTGTGTCTCTTGCTTTTTTTCTGTCTTTTTTTCTCTTAAATAAAAGTGAAAAAAGTGAAAGTGTTTGAAAAAGCTTTTATCTTTGTTTTCATGGAAGTTAAAGGTTGTTTGGCTTGGGAGGTAGAATGAGGTGATAAGATCTTTTTTTTTTTTTAACTCATATGAAAGCCACTTTTATTTATAAAAGGCAAAAAATGCAAAAGTGCACAAAATTGGTGAAATTTGTTCACCACAGGTAGTACAAGACAGGTAAAACATTTTTTTTTAAAAGCCACATTTCAGAAAAATGCAAGAAAAATTAGACTGCTGAAATATAAGTAGGATTATTTTCCATCAGTAATTTCCCTAAAACCTCACAAGCTGAATGGCCAGTATTCTCTTTGGTCCACAGCCCTTCCAGGGGCTGCTAGGCAGCACCTGCCAAGAGCCTGTTTTGAAGAACTTAGCACAGCCAGCCGCCTGCTCAGCTCCCCGCACCCTGTCAATGTGCACCCGTTTCCACTCAGGCAGCAGATCTAATTCAAATTGCAAATAGTAATACTCAAAACTAGGTATGCATTAGGTGAGTGATGCACAGGAAATTATGTTTGCTATTACTTTGTTCTACCTTGTAATGCCCAAATCAAATTTACCTGCTTGTGTAAATATTTTTCCAGCTATCCAGCCATTCTCTCCAAGCCTTCTCCAGCTCTCTTTGACTGGAGCACAGGTCAGTTCTGTTTTCCCTTTCTTCTCCTGTTTTCTCTTTTGCTATTGTCCTCAAAGTTCCACATACAGGTGTTTTTTTTTTTTTTTTTTTTTTTTTTGCCCCTGTACTGGCAATTGGAGCTAGTACTTTTACACTGAGTTACAGTCCCAGTCCCTTTTTTAAAATTTCGAGACAGGCTCTCACGAAGTCATTGAGCTGCTCAGTCTGGATGGAATCTGTGATCCTCCAGCCTCTCTCCCTGAGTGCAGGATTATAGGGGTCTGCTACCATGTCCAGCTTGCAGAACTATTTGCGGTACCCATGTTCCACTTCTTCAAAAACTCCCTCAGCCAAGCTTTCTATTTTCAAGCTAATCATGGTCAACCCTCTAAAGTCTTTGTTATATGCCTGCATTAGAGTCACAGGAAATCTATTTGGTTGCATTCATTTTTCCCAATGTATACCTTTACGGTACTGCTTCCCACCCAACTCTGGGATTTGTATACTGTGACTGAGATGTGGATAGAGAAGCTTAAAAGACTGACATCTTTCATAAAATAAAGTGAGTTCTTGAAGGTTTGACAAGATTAATGTTTCTGAAGGCATGCGTGTGGGTGGAAAGAAGGATCTCAATAGGGGGCAGTAGCTTTTCCTGTTTTGTGGTGCAGCAGACCCTGGGATCCTGAACATATTAAACCTGTGATCTATGACTGAGCTGAGTATACAGATGCTGCGATTTTCTGAACCTCATTGTCCTGCTGGCATTTTCCCATAATTATCATCATCACCCCTAGGCTGGATTCGAGGAGTATATACTTGTCTTAAAGCTCTAATTTCTTGGTTCTTGGTTTGTTCATTTCACAGAGTCAGGCAGGACTTTTTTGTTTTCTTTTTTTGAGAGAGTCTCACTATGTAGTTCACGTTGGCCTTGAGCTCCTTATGCACACTAGGCTAGCCTTAAATTTGCAGCAATCCTCCTGGCTCAGCCTCCTGAGTGCTGGGATTACAGGTGTGTGCCACCACACCTGGCCCAGGTAGGATTTAAAACAAACAAAAAAAAAGTATTACCATTAGGAACCAATGATTATCACTGGACAGAGAAATTTTGGATAATCTTTATTTTCTTATGTTTTTGTACTCATTTACATTTTATTCTTATATTTAAAAAGGAGACTTACAAAGTGCAGAGACAAAACAATTAGTGAAAATACAGGCAGCCACATGAATAGCAAGTTTCTAACTTCCTATCTACACAGCTGATTTTCTTCCAAAACTCCTGCTCCACATCCACTCGAAGGCCCTGCCAAGGTATCTGAGTTTTTCATTTTCAAGCACTGTTTCTCTTGATCCTTTCAAAATACCTCACTGAAAAACTGTGGATAGACTGAAGAACTCATTACTCGTTTGGAATTAGATCATCTGACCCCCGTGCTCAGGTAGATATGTGCATGTGAATCGCCCAGGTACAGAGGCTTCCTTAGTTTCCCAGAGCAAGGGATGAAAGATTATTTTCCTGGGAGACAATTAAATTTGAGGTTGAAGGGGTGTCTTAGTCTGTTTTGTGTTGCTATGACATAGCCCGAGACTAATTTATAAAGCACAGAAATTCATTCCTTGCAGTTCTGGAAACTGGGAAGTACAAGGTCAAGCCAATATCCGCTAAAGATCATACTGCTGCTGTGTCCTCACATGGTGGAAGGCAGAAAGGTTAACAAGGCTGAGCTCATGCCTTCAAGCTCCTTTGTGATGAGGGCCAAGCCAGGACCTAATCACTTCCTGAAAGACCCCACCGTTCAGTACCACCACACTGGGGATAAGGCTGAACACGAATTTTGGGTGGGACATCCTCAGTGAAATCATAGGAAGGAGACTATCCAGAGCACATGGAGGTGTGAGCTGGGCCAGTTACGTAGGATGGAAGACCCTGACAGCAAACATCAGCTTTCAGACCTTTCTATGATTGCCTCAGTAAGATGAACTTTAAAAGCTATGCAATTTCAGAGCAGAACATTAACCAAGGAAGATGAGAGTACAAGTGTTTGTTTGGGTTGTACTATTAACGGTCATCTTATATGAATTGCTTACCTTATCTACTTACTTGTAATGCCTTATTTTCAATTAATTATGTGTCGTTAACTTAGTTATGACACCATATGGGTCATATATTCAACATGCACATCTCTTTGTTCACATGTCATAGTAATCATTTGCTTAGTTTGTTTGCCCTTAAGTCCCAGAAATAGAACATGAGTCACTCTTATTTACTCAGGCCTTAACAGCTTCTCTTCCTGGTTTATTAGATCAGATCTAATGACAGTACCTCAGATATTAAACCAAATAATTAGGGCTGGGGATATAGCTCAGCAGCACGGTGCCTGCCTAGCCAGCACGACATTGTGAGTTTGATTTTCAGTACCAAACAATAGTAAATAAATCAATATTTTTAAAACCCCAAATAACTTATAAATGAAAAACTATTTTGAAGGAATAAGTAAAATTATTCAAATTGGAAAGAAAAAGATTTCTATGTTGAAAAGAAAAAAGTTGTAGATTCCTTTTTAAATTTGCTTTGTCCTTTATTTCCTCTGATTATAACCAAGGTTTAAAAATTATTGTTGCTCTCTCATAAATATGTAGTGGTTTGTGGTATTTTGATTAAAAACATAGTTGGATTATTCCCTCATATCTTTTGCTTCTTTTTCTCTGAGAGATTATTTTGATTTCTCCAAGGGTGTTTGGAATTGTAAAGAAATTTCCACACCCTTGGCTTTACATTTTAGAGTCCAGTTTTGTTCTTTTTCCTTTCCTATCCCCACCCCTTCTTTCTTTTTGGTGGTACTGGTGTCTGAACCCAGGGCCCGTTGCCCTGAGCTACATCCTCAGATCTTTGTTTTATGACAGGATTTCACTACGTCAGTAAACTGCCTGAGTAGGGTTTCAATTTGTGGTCCTCTTGCCTCAGCCTGCAGAGCGCTGGGATTACAGGCACGTGCAATTAGTTCATTCATTCTGACTCTTTTTTTCTGTTCACCACTGCTTAGTGAGCTTGGGAGTTTCTTGCTTCCAACCAGGCACTATACCATAACAACAAAGACAAATTTAATTCCCATTACCCAATTAGTGACATGAGCTACTGTCTAAATATTTTCTAAAATATCTGAAAAGTTCAAGAGAGAATTTGAGAGACTGCCTCATAAAAGAGGTAGAAAAAATGTTTATTAGCACATTCAAGGTAATCAAGATTTTAACAAACATCTTAATCCTCACAACAACCCTGTGAGGTAGGTAAGTCATTGTTTTATGATAAACTAATATTCCAAATAAAGTGCAATTCTTAAAAGAATAAATCTGCATTAGGAATAGCTTATTGATATTAATAATTTGTTAATTATACCACTTACATATATTCGAGTCTTTGTGTTCTTAAATACTTTGATTCATGCAATACTGTAATATGTTACACATTAAGTTTACTGTAAGCCAAATCCTTGGGAGACCATTTAAATAAATGCTGGGATTTTTTGGTAAAATAAGACATTTATCTTAGGTATAAAAGTACTTCTCATAGCATTCACTCAGAGTGAGGAATTCTTAGCAATGCTTCACCCACATTATCTATTCTTATAGAAAGTTATCTCAATGCAGCACCAAGGCAATGTAGCAATTTACTGAATGAAACTTTAGCAATTTGGTATACGGCAGTGAACTGAGGAGTCCTGAAGACATCTTCAAATATATTGCACCTAATCTCAACTCCAAAGCTAATGGAGATTGTGTTGAAATGTAAACACTAAAATGAATGGGGATAAGCTCCAAAAAATATTTTCCCATGAGAATCTTGATGGTTTTCCTTTAAAAGCACTAGCAATCTTGAAGTCATTATAAAAATACTTTGAAATCTATACAATTAGTGATTTATATTGCAAATCAAAGCTTCATGATAACAATTACTACTACAAGAGAGCCAGCAATTATTCCTCTAAAAGTGTGATTTTTCCTCTGTGGCAATATAAAACTTAACTAGGTAAAGAGACATTGGGCTGGAGATGTAGTTCAGTAGTAGGATACTTGCTCAAATAAAGACATTTTTGTTAGCCCAATACTAAGAAGCATCCAGTCGCATATTACATTTTATAGATGCTTTTTCTGTAAAATGGCTTTTTATTGGAGAATTTCCATAACATTTAACTATGAGGCTAATATTTAGGGTAGTTATATAATTTCTTTGGACAATAACTTTTTTTATTTTTTGGTACCAGGGATCAAACGCACGACCTCACACTTAACCAGGCAAGCGCTTGAGCCACTGAGCTAAATCTCTTGGACAATAACTTTAAATAACAATATGCAATATAACAACCATTGCTAAATTCCTATCATCTTGTTTTGATATCCTATATTGCTATTGTTTTTTATTGTCATTTTACTTTTGTTGTTTGTTTGTTCTTCTCTTTAAAAAACAAACAAACAATAACATTAAAACTGGAAGCTTACTTAACACTTGGAAATCCACTGGCAGGTTTACAATATTTTACCAAGCAGTTACAGTAATTTACCATTATAAAGAAACCATTTAAGCCCAGAAAACAATTCTCACGTAACTATTTTTAAAAACTGCTGCAAGGAAATTAGGCAAAGCAATGTGTAAAATTAACTAAGTCACCCATAAATTATACATTCAAATCCACGTTAAATCCCAATAGTGCACTTCGGATTATAGTTGAGGTAGGGCAAAGAGATACACTCAGATATATCCTGAACTCTGAAATTTATACAAATTAAAATACTGACTTTTTACCAGATTTTACTTGGATATCCAAAAAGAAAAATTTAGAATTCAAGTGATAAAGTATTTTCTTAGATTTCTTTAGATTTAAGGATAGAATTGTAAAAACTTTTGCAGTACATATAAATAAAAAATACAAAGACTACAGATAGGTTTTATTTCAACATAAAATGTGCTTATATAAAAATAACCCACGAAATATAAAAAAGAAATACAAATTTTTGCATAGATCTTCTATATAAAAACTTTACCTGGAGCAAAACACTGGGAACTACACTTCTGAAACTAGTATAGTTGAACTGTTGCCTTGGATACCAAGTATACACAAAATAAAAGCCCTTTGTCTTGGGGGGGGGCATGGGCAGGCGGGAAAACAACTTAATTTAGCATCAGTCTGTATTTATTTCTCTGTTGCTCGAATATAAACCAACGATGACAAGAGGAGAAACTCTGGGGGTTTATTTAACAAAATTAAATTCACATTTCTGAGCCCATCATAGTGCATCCAATGTCCATCAATCTGGAAAGCTGCAGAATAATGATGTTCCTCTTTGTTAAATAATGTGGCACCTTCCAACAAGTATCTGCAAACGACAAAGTGCAGCAGAAAATTGCAATACCTTGCTTATTTTTCATTTGTTGTTTTGTCTTTTTGAGACAGTGTTTCACTAGGCAGTTCAGGCTGGCCTTGAACTCACTGATCCTCCTGCCTCAGCCTCCCAAGTGCTGGGATTACATGTGTGTGCCACCATGCCTGACCTTAGAATACCTTAAGATGTATCCTTTTTTACATTCTAAGCTAAGGAATAAGACGACTCTTTGCATTCTTTTTTTGTGTAAATCATGTATTATAAATTTCAAGTAAAATATTTAAAAAGTGATATAATTTACGAATTAAAAATCCGATATTAACAGATAAACTCATAATCTGTATTCTATTAAAAAAGAAACATACCCAAGAACTTTTAAAGTAAAAAGTTATAAGTACCCTCTATATTCTTTTTTTTTTTTTTGCCTCCAACTTGCAGTTATCCTCCCAAATCAGCTTCCAGAGTGCTGGGACTACAGGTGTGTGCCATCATGCCTGGCTAGCTTCTGATCTGTATGTAGGTATTTTTATTTATAATGATAACAAAAAACATTAGTACAAATAATATTTAAATGATGATCTCTTATATAATACTATATGGTACTTTGACTTAAAATACAAATAATAGCAGTATTTACTGTCTGCCTCTTTGTGTGTCAGGCATTATTCTGTACTGTATTAGTAAATCCTCACAGTAATGGCACCAAGTAGATACTGTCACCTCTATTTTACAGATAAGAAAACTAAGCTGGGCATGGTGGTACAGGCTGTTATTCCAGTGCTCCAGATACAGCTCACTGAAAAGGCCTGGGTTCAACTCCTAGTACTGCCAAAAAACTGGTGTGTACACTTGTTAAGCTATTGACCCTATATAGCTGGTGAAAGAGGGGACAGGTTTTGAACTCAAATCTGTCTGTTCCGTACCACTATGTCCACTGCTAGTGAGTCTCTCCCTTAGTAGATTCTGATCCTACTCAGAATATATAAATTTAGAGATATGTAGGCTCTTTTTTTTTGGTACCAGAAATCGAAATCATGACCTTGTGCTTGCCAGGCAGGTGCTGCGCCCGTAGGATCTTTTTAAAAACAGTATTTTAATGGCTAGTCAAAACTGTGATAAACTACTGTTTTTTTTACTTTTTTAAACATGCAATCCAAAATACACCTACTTGTGATCAGATAAATCCAAGTAATAGGGTACATATGCCAGATCTTCAGATTTCCAATGCTGCATATTTAAGACAACAAAAGGAGGTGCTCCATGGCAGAAAACTCGTTGGGAAAATTCTCTTAAGCCACCACACCTAAAATGGAAAATGTGCATAAACATTATTATACTTGGGATGAAGCTTTTAAATACTTATGAGTTGTGTTTACGACTTTAGTCTTCTAGTAAGCATTATTATCTGAGTATCATTAATGGTATAGGTTTCTGTACCTATTCCTATAAGTTTATATGTGTTCTCTATGCTAGAAGCGATACTTTAAAAACTTTGGAAAAGGTAGCTAAGGGTCCTTGGGGCTATGAAAATCTGAGTCATTATTATAAAAGCTTTTATTTATGTATAATTTTTTCTTTTTATGCTAGTTTCATATCATGACTAAGACAGGAAGAATATGACTAATTTTTCCTTTTTCCTTTGAGGATTTTCTATTTGTATGATGAAAATTCTCTCTCTCTCCTTTATTTTTATTTTATTCTTTTCATACAATGAAGACTAGAATACAACAAACACTGTACAGTAACATTTTGATTAACTGGAATACTCAGGGCATAGTCTCCGCTTAACAGACGTTACTGACTACATTAAATTAACCAGAAAATCACTTACTTCAGTGCTTGTTGCTAAACTATATTCAGTTTTTGAACTTATTAAGAATAAATAAGTGACAGTGCTTTTGTCTTTCTCACTTTGTGGTTAAATAGTTGTAAGACCATCTTTCTAAACATTAATTCTCATTGTACAATATGGTAGACACAAAATTGATAATGGATTGCAATTAATGTGTTTTACCCTGCTGGATGCTTTTTTCTGTGTTATACTTTTTGGTTGACAATCTCTTTCTCCTAAATGAGGAATACAGGAAAACAGAATCTAGTTGGGGGTTCTGATTAGTTGGGATCTGATTTTATAGGAAAAAAAGTGTTTGCTTTGCATTTGTGAATTAGCTGTAATACCATATGTTCTATGAATGATAGATATTTGATAATGAAAATACAACATAAGATAGCACAGTAAAGAAGTCAGGCTTCCTAACCACTTATTAATTGCTATTTCACACTGTATTAACTTCAAAGAGCCTATCATCAGTCCAGGCTTCCTTATAAACAAAATAGAAAAGAAGTACTTTCATCTTAAATGTCTGTTGAATGCTCACCCATGTTCTTCACATAATTCAATCTTGGAACAGAATAACTCATCCACAGCCAGTCGTATCAAATTTCCATGAGGAATTTCTTGGGGAGGACTAAAATAATTGTAAAACGCATGTAAGAACTGCTTCAACATCTTACTGGTTAGTACATTATTAGGTTAACAAATTCTACAGGTCAATTCATTACTAGCAGAACCGAGTATACTAGTACAACTTCTATACTCCTTCAAGATAACATAAAAACCTGTGGAACTCATATCGATACACCAGGTTTTCCAAAAAACATTAAAATTTTCTGTAAAGTGATCCTGAAATATGCAGTTGTTGCTACTTCACTCAAAAAAAAAAAAAAAGTGGTACCTAAATTGAAGCAGTATGGTTTAGTGAGTAGAAACTAAGACCTAACCGTGGGCATGGTAGTGCTTGCCTATAATCCCAGCACTCAGGAGGCTGAGGCAGGAGGGGTGCCCAGAGTTTGAGGCCAACCTGGGATACACAATAAATTCAAGGCCAGCCTGAACTACTTAGTAAGTCTTTGTCTCAAAACTAAAGAACAAACAAACAAACAAACAGAAAAGCCACTGTTGGAGTCAGGTGCAGATGTTTTAAATACAAATTTTTTAAAAAGGCAGAAGCTTAACAAGAGTATGATGAAAATATTAAGAGAAATATACAATTATAAACATAAAATTTGTATAACATAAAATTATACAAATTTCATTAGTATTAAAACATTTATGGGTTAAAAGACTATTTTATTTGTTATTTTTCGTATTTTTTGTGGTGCTAAGGATAGAATTACAGGTTACCTGTATGTGGCTACCACTGAGCCACATGCCCAGCCCAAGATACCAGCTTAGATTTATTAAGAGTCAGAATTTCACTATGCAGTTCAGTTGGCCTTGAACTCACTTTGAAACCCAGGCAGGCTTCAAACTCACTATGGTCCTCCGGCCTGAGCCTCCTGAGTGCTAGAATTACAACTGGTGAGATACTAGTTTTTAAAAATCAACATGATCTATGAAACAATTTTTAGTCTATTATGATGCAGAGTAAGAAAATATTTTCTTCTGGTAGATTTCAAAATCAACCCCATCATAGCAGCAATATAAGGAAACTATATTTCAGAAAAAATGAGTGTGATAAATTAGCAAACAATCTATTAGTCTGTTTTTCTGGAGCGCAGGAACAAATACCCTTCCTAACAACATGTTTGGGTCTGTTTTTCCTCCACTGGCAATCACTCCTTTTCCAACTAATGTCCCCTGGGGGCTTTAATAGTTCCCAGCACTCCACAGAGCTTGCCAGTTTGGCCTTTGTCCCTGTTATTTGCCGGCTTGGAGGGCTGCCTTCTCTGTGAAGCCACAAACACTGCTGGCTCCCAGGACTTTCGCAGCAGTGTAAAAGCTAACATCCATGAGGTACAGATCTGAGTTTCTGTCTGCGATTATAACCTGGCCTTCTGAACAAAGATTCATACTGAGGGAGAAATATTTCAGAGCACTGAAGTGTTCTTCCAGGGATTAAACTGATCGTGCAAAGAATTACCTTCACAGTCATATTAGTAAAAACAGAGCAAAAAACTTTGCATATTGAGTAATTCCATTAGTTGACTACTGAAAGGTTATCACTTGTTTCTGTATATAAATATTATAGCCGAAAGCAATGTTCACTAAAAAAAAAATGCACACGATGAGATGGATTTAGGGCAACTTACTTTATATTAATTGTGCGCTGCTGATCTCCCTGCACTCGAGTCGGGCATCGCCTGTTGGAGCAGTAACTTTCTTGAATGGTAGACATAAGATTTTCAAGATTTTTTGTAAAATTATCATGCTCATTCCCAAACAGATCAATTACTAATGAAGCTTTATGAACTTCAGATTTGTATTGCTGCTTTTCCATTTTGTCCCAAATCCAAAGTAGCTTCACAGTTGTAAAACTGTAGGTGTCCATTAAATAAAGAAAACAGTCTACAAATTCTTTACCAAAATGAAGAGAGAGTTCCCTGGGGAAATTCTCATTTTCATTAAGGATGACATACAACAACATCAAGAATCCATCTATGGTGCAGGTATTTTTCAGTCTTATTTCAACATAGAGTGGTGTACAGGATACTGCTTTACGGCCAGCTTTGATAGTAAAAACACCTCCCCAAGGAAGAACGGGCCTCCAAAATGATCGATCTTGGTTATAGTTATTTTTAATTGATGCTTTGATCTCTTCGAACAGTGTCTTCATTCTGCATTTTAAAAATTTAAAACAAAACAAGTAAGTGTTCTGTTTATATGAGGCATGAGGTGTATCTAAATTTAAAAAAAAAAACTAAAGAGATAGGTTGTAAGATAGCCTTCTAATGTAACAAAAATTTCAATGTGGTGTATGTAAGGCAAAACTTTTTTGAGGTATAGAATGCCCATTTGATAGGCCTATATGTTAACTATGTAACATTTTATCTGTAAGTGATATAGAAAAACTCTGTAATAAACCCTAAGTAAAAAAATATTAAAAGATACAAAACAGGTTTGTTCTTATGTATTCCCAAGGTAAGTCTTTGCCTCCCTCCAAAATACTAGCTGTGCTTCACTTCCTTATTATAGGTGGCTCCACTTAAGAAATTGATATAATGGAATACTTAGTTTGGGATAGAGAATAGTAGCTATTTACAGTAGTGGCCTTTTTGCTATTGCTAATTATATGACACACTCTTAGTATACAAACCATGAAGGAATACCACCTGTTGCTATAGATGCAGCCCAGTTCTGGCATTTAACTCTGAAACAGGACACTTGCAGAGTAATCATGAGAGTGTTGCTAAAGAGTAACATAGCCAATTATTTCCTTTCTTTAGGGTTTCCACTTGCAATTTAGCATTGTGCTAAACATCCTGTATTTCTAACCACAGATGCCATGCTATTAAAATTTGATTCAAGACTTGATAAATATCCTGATTCTTCCCTCCCCCTGGCTTTTGAATAAACAGAAATATCCTGCTCTGAACCTTGAAGAGAGTTAAATATTGCTCTACAAGTCACTGAGAGTATTAAAACGAAATATATGTCGTGTGTCATATAAAGCAAAATTTAAAAAACATCCTGAAATTGTATTGAAAAAGTCTAGGTCTACTGGACTTCACTTTATTTGGGACAAATATATAAACTGAAAACATCATATTATTTCTAATTTTACTTTTACAGAAAAATGTATTTTTGTGAAAAAAGGTAAGCGCCTGAGAAACAGAGACTGAAGTCTGTCTTGTTCAGATCCTCTTTTCAAGAAGCACATCCTCAAATTCATCCCTCAATAATACTGTAGACCAGACTTGTGTGTAAAAAACTAAATTCAAAACTTTTGCAATAGCAGCAGGTCAAAATTTTGTTTTCATAATATATTAAACTCACATGTGCAATGTTTCCCTCCTGAAGCATGGTCCTGTGCACTCCGACATATTCAACACTATATTTAGCCTTAAGTGTAGCTGTTTATATATCACCAGCTAACACATTGGCTTTATAAAGTCAACCACTTACAGGGTGTGGTTAATCTGAAGCCTAGGAAAACAAGCTCACTTAATGGAAACTGACCTGCATCATTTACATTTTAAAAAGTCCTAAGCCATTCAAATATTTAAAAGCAAAAAGATTTTTCTTCATGGTTTGAGGTTTTTTTTTCTCCCTTGCCTTTCTGGAGACAGGGTCCTGACATACGGTTCAGGCTGGTCTTGAGCTCGCAATGATCTTCCTGTGTCAACCTCCCTCTGCTCAGCCTCCTGAGTGTGGGATTAGATAGAAGTCACCACGTTTGACTTCTATGTTAAGTTTTTAAAGAATCTTGTAAGAAGGTTGAAGATTGCATAAAGAGCTCGAGTTCTTAAATACTGCACTGGAAGGGAAGAGTAAACAAATTTCTACCATTTTTCTTCAAATTATCTCTCAGACATCACCAAATGACGGCAATTGCAAAGCCAGCCACAGTTATAATCGAAGAGAATTAAACTACAATGTTAGGTATGGCACAAAACTAACTTAAGAGGTGGGCTGGAAGAACTAAATGACACTCAATGTAGTTTCAGCATAAACTCGGTGACTTGTTCAAAGCTAACTTCAATAAAAATAGGAGGAGAAGGCAAAAAGGAGAGCAAACTCCAGCACAGGGTTTTTCTTAAAACTGCCGTAAGTTGTTGTCACATCGTTGGAAAGGCTGTCGTCAGGCACCGTGCTGGAAGCGCTAGGGGACGGCTTGATTTTCCTGCTGCAATAGGGCCTCCACTTTGCATAAACCTGGACGATGCCCCGCATCTCTATTTCCTGACAAAACAACACCATTCCTGTACGATCATTCCCAGGAGTGGCAGCGGGTTCCCCAAGCTGGCCCAGGCACTGGATGCCAGACCCTCCTAGGGTTCGGGGATCTTTGGAGTCTTCCCCCGACCCGGGGCCCCAAAAGCTGCTCTGCAAAGCCAAGCGCGCAAGGCTCGGGAAGGGCGCGCGGGGCCACTCTCCTGCAGCCCCGCGCCTGGGAGGTCTGGTCGGACCTGGGGGCGCCCACGCATCGGCCAGTCTCAGGCCCCCAGGAAGCCGACTCCGCGTACCTCCCCAGGGACCGAAAACCGCCGGTGCCACCGCACCCGTCGCCGCCGCCGCTTGCTCATGGAGAGCCCGGGCCGCCACCGCCGCTTCATCTACTAGCACCGTCGGCTGCCTCGGCCTCCCCCGGCGACAGCGCTGGGCTCCGGCACGGCCTCCATCGCGCCCGCCGCGGCTGGAGCCACAGCAGCTCCGGCGCCCAGGCCCGACTCGACCGGACCCACGGAGCCAGGACCGCGGGACGCGTCGCTTCTTATTACGGAGGAAGATTCGGCCTGACCTCCGCCCCCCTCCCCCCAAGACCCCAGTTTCCAGCCGCCGGACGGCACCGCTGCGCAGGCGCGAAGACGCCCAGACCAAACGTGCGTGAGTCGAGTGTGTATACAGCGTCAGGATTTGCCCAATGGGAATCAGGGTCAGGTGTGGAGGCGGGGCTCCAGCGTGGGAAGGTGGGTGGTGCCCCCGGAAGTGGGCTGGGTTTGGATGGAGGAGAAACTTCGCTGTCAAACGCAATTGGCCAATTGGCTTTTTGAGGTCTGTGCCATTTCAGGATTTGGTTTTAGTTTGATTCTAGGTCCTGCTCTCTGAAGCTTTTTTTTCTCAGTAAATTATGTGAGGTTTTTTATTTAAGCATGCATTTAGGAAAAAGATGGTGTATAAATATTAAGTTAGTGTTCAAGATTAGGCAGTACTGTAATTTACAATTGCTGTTAGTAACGGTTTCTTTCTGTTCTTAAATTAGTACATGTTTGCAGTACATAATGTTTACATTCCTTGTAGGGAGTTGGTATAAGTACTTAACACATCTTTATTCTTTTTCTCACCCCCTTTCCCTTTGTTCCCTCTACCCTCCCTCCATCTCTTGATCCCTTCTGCATTTGAGAAAATTCTTATCTCACCACATCTTATCTATCTTTTATTTTGCTTTTTATTTATAATTTTGATTTCTCAGAGAAACCGTACAATATTTATGCTTGTGTGTGTACGTATCAAGGCCATCCATTTTCCTACAAATAATTTGTCTTTACGGCAGTGTAGTACACCATTGTTTATAAATACCATATACCATATGGTATAAGTACCATATTTTAAAATCCAGTCATCACTAATACATGTATAGATTGCTTCCAAAATTTAGCTTTTGTGAATTGTGCTACTATAAACATGAATATGCATGTGTCGCTGTCATATGATGTCTTTAGCTGTTTTGGGAAGACACCTAGAAAGGGAAGAGCTGGATCAAATGGACTTGTTTGTGAAATCTTACTGTTGTTTTAATTTGTGTTTCTCTAATGGTCAGCAATGTTTGAGCATTTCTTTACATATTTACTGACCACTTGTACTTCTGTGAAGTGACTATTTCACTTGCCCATTTTTTTGACTTGAACTTCTATTTTGGGGGAGTCTAATTTTTTTAGTCCTATCTATGTTCTAGATATTGATCCTGTGTCTGAGGTACAGTTGGCGAACATTTTTCGTATTTTGTAGTTTGTCTTTCCACTCTGTTGTTTGTTTCTTTGCCGTGCAGAAGCTTTTTAATTCTTAATGATCTAATTTGTTGACTGTGGGTGCTATGTCCTGTACAGTGAGGGTTCTTTTCAGAAAGTCATTGATTACCGTATGCCTGTGACTTCAAGAGTTTTACCTATTTTGTCTTCCGACAGTTTAATGTTTCTGTTTTAACATTTAGTTCTTTGATATATTTTGATTTTAGTTTAGTTTGAGTTTATGGTGAGAGAATATTAATCTAAGGTTCAGCACTCTGCCTGTGCTAACTAGTGTTCCGAAAGACATTTTTAAAAGAGGCTGTCTTTCCTCTAGTAGATGTCTTTGGTCCCTTTGTCAAAGATCAAATAATTGAATATGCTTGAATAAGCTAGATTTACCTCTACCATAGTATTAACTATGGAGATAATGAGTTTCTACACAGCGCGTGACAGAGAGGTTAGGACATTAAAGTTAAGGCTGCTTCATGCTTTTATTTAGGGGCCTGATGTTTAAATCCTTCTTTAAAGTCAAAACACACCAGGTAACACATGTCATCCTGGAGAACTCCTTCCATTTGCAATTAGAAATGGGGATGTTGAGATATTTCCCCTTCAGCCGTTCAACAAAGTCTGTAAAGTGAGGCCCCAACTCCAGGATCCAGCAGAGCTGATTTAGATAGGTAAAGGCCAGCCCAGAAGAGTTGTGTGGTTATCACAGCCCTAAATGGATGAGGTTGGATGCCTTGTTATGAAATGATGAGTCATGATTATAGCAGAAATCTTCCTCTTGAACCTCTGGAGTCTAGTGGATGGAGGGAGGCTTGTCAAAAAAAAAAAAAGTCAAGAGCTTGACTTATTCAAGATTACTGATCATGGAAATGGGAACAAATGTCTCTCAGAGCAGAGGGAGAAAGAAGATGGTCTTGCTCCCAACAAAGACTTTGCCACTGGCAAAGTCTGCTCTTCTCTGGGTTTTCTAATTTCTGATAGTATTTTAGAGATCTGAATGCTAAGGTTCTAAGAAAGTAAATAACCTGATGTGTTGAAATTTATGTGCAGAAAGTTCACATATTAAACACTCTGCAACTAGAAAATTCTTTTTAAAAGGTTTGTAGATGTGAATTATATGCATAATTGTAAATATCTTACAAGACATGGATTTCATTTCATGCCGATTAGGTCACTCTTTTCTGAAAACAGACACAATGGTGTTTAATACCATTTCTGGAGAATAGCAGTGAGATGCTTATATCCTTGCTAAAACTTGGCTGAGTGGAGGAAGCATAGATTCTTTGCATACTTGCGTAATTCACAAACGTCACTGAGGCCTTTAACTGAGATTTCTGTGCTGCTTTCTTTCCACTGTTCTTAAAATAGGACAGCTAAGTTGCAGGTTTTAAAAAAATAATTATTTGGTGATGTTAGTTGAACAAATTACTGGTTTTGCTGTGGCATTTCCATACACACACATGTCATTTTTTGGTCATATGCACTCTCCTCCACCCTTCCTTTCTCTTTCTGGCTCGCCTTTTCTCTTCCCTTCCTAAGCATCAGATTTTAAAAATAGTGTTGAAGTATAATTGACATACAATATATACGACATATTTAAACTGTCATTTTTCCTTCCCAGTCTCCTACACCTAAGCAACTAGTGATCTACTGTCTTTAGGTTAAATCTTTATTTTCTGAAGATTTATATATAAAGAGAATCATAATCTATGTCCTGGTGTTGCTTGGTTTCTTTCACTCACTGTAATTATTTTTCAATTTGTCCTGTATATTCCTTTTTTTTTTTTTTTTTTTGGTAAGTCTACGCCATTGTATTGATGTGTTGCAATTTGGTTATCCACCATCTGTTGGACTGTGGATTGTCCCGTCACATTCAGTTTCACGTTATTTCCAGTAGAGCTACTATAAAGGTTTGTGATCAGGGAAATATATATGAACATATATTGCTATAACCCATGCGGCTCTTGAGGTTCTTGGGGTGAAGGGCTGCAAGAGGATGAGATACTAATGAAGACACAAAGCTGGGGTCAGGTGGAGCACAAACCTCCATCAGGAGGAAAGATACTGGCTCCTCACTGCAGGGGCATTGATTTATACATTTTAGCAACTTAATGTCAACATGACACCTTGTTGTATTAGCAACTCACTGTTCAGATTGTCCTGGGGGTAGGTGTTCTCTGGGCTGAGGAGCTTCTTCAAGTGGCTTGCCCCAGGTGCTCTTTGTTCTTGGGATGATCATGCCCCAGCCTTGCATGTGTGGCTAATTTCCAGCTTCAACCACTTCCAACAATACATTTCTTTTTTTCTTGGGTAAATATCAGAGAGTAGATGACTGGATCATATGGTAGATGTATGTTTAATTTTCTAAGAATTTCTTATGTTATTTGCCAGTGGTTGAACAGTTTTGCATTCCGATACAGAATATGAGAACTCCAATTTCTCTGCATTCTCATCAACCTTGGTATTTTTATTTATATTTTTTGTTGTTGTTTGTTTTTGAGACAAGGTCTTACAGTGTAGTTCAGACTGGCCTTGAACTCACTATGTAGCTCAGACTGGCTTTGAACTTGTGGCAACCCTCCTGCCTCAGCCTCCCGAATGCTAGGATTATAGGTGTGTGAAGTGAGTTCATGAACAGTAATAGGAATCTAAGCAGCCAAACTGATAAATTTGGAATTAAATTAGCTGAGCTCAGTGATCACTCGCATAGAGACCCCTGTTTCAGAGTCCCACTAAATGGCACTGAACTGGAAAGTTACAGAGCTTTTAAAACAGAAAACCACAAAAAGACATCCTGGAAACAGTTTAGCTAGAATCCTACATTAAATTTTGGTTGACACCTGTATCCTGCTTCTTTGTTGAGCAGGTTAATTTTTCTCTTGTGGTACAGCTCATTCTGCTTTTCTCATGGGACTTGTACCTTAAGTAATTTTACGTTCTCCTGAGTCAAATACAGGGTACTAGTTAAATGTAGGGCTCAAGAGGTGTCAATGTGTAGCACTATATCTGACCAAAAATTTGGTATTTTTTAAAATTCTAGTTATTCTAGTGATTTGTAGTTACTTCTTGTAAAAAATCAATTTTACTTATACATTTTAGGTATACATAATGATAGCATTCATCGTAAGGAATTTGTATCTGTACATGATATATCTTAATGTTTCCCATTCTCTTTTCTCCCTTCAATCCCTCTTCCCATCCTTATTTACAAAAGCAGTGTTTCTATTTGTACTTTTTTTTTGGTACCAGGAGTCAAACTCATGATCTTGTGCTTCTAGGCAAGCACTTGAGCCACTGAGCTAACTCCCTAGCCCTCCATTTTTTTTCTGTTCTCTTTTTTCTTTTACCTTTGTTTGTGTCCCCTTTCCCCCTCCTTAGTTCCCCTTCCTATTTGAACATTTTCTTCCTATTTCACAATGTCTATTATATGTTTTTGGTCCATATCTATATTTATTTTATACTTTTGATTTCTCACACTGATGTGTGTCCAATTTATTTCACTTAAGATGACAGTCACAATGTATGTACTGTTGTTACTGCCAATTGATGTGCTTTAAAACTTTGTTGTAGTTTTTTCCTGCGTCTTCTTTTTCCTTATAAGAATAAAATGGATTTGAAAAAAAAAGAATAGGATCTTGATGGCCTGGAGATATAGCTCAGTGGTATAAGTGGCTGCCCAGCAAGCACAAGGTCTTGAGTTTCAATCTTGGTATCAAAAGAAAAAAAAAGAATATGGTCTTGAGGTGTATCCATTTAGGTAGAAATGTCTCGAGCTTTTCTTTCTTTAGGGCAGAGTAGTACTCCATTGTATAAAAAAAACCCATACCTTCTTTATTCATTCATTGATTGATGGGCTTTTGTTTCCAAGATTTAATTATTACAAACTGCTGCTCAAAGCAAAATTGTGCATATATTATTGTGGTTTGATGCTTTTGTTTATTCCAGGAAAATACCAAGAAGGGGAATAGCTGGTTCAAATGGAACCTCTAGTTTTAGTTTTTTGAAGAATCTTCATACTGATTTATTGGGAACCTGACCAAGAGTCCTGATTGTCAATATCAGGAACCCGGCCATAAGTTCTGACTGTCAGTCTCAAGAATGCAAGAAATGCAAATTCAAGAAAAAAATAAAAGTATAAGACACAAGTGTATTATTCCATCAATGGGAAGTCAATGTCTCTGGATCAATCTCCTTCACTCCCAAAGCAGCCACTATTTATTTAGTGTATACAGTGATATGTGGAGCTAGTAAAGGATTACGATTCATCAAGACAGAGGCTCAAGAGTACGTAGATAATCTTATGCATGGAAGTATCTTGACCTTGAGTATAATTCTGAGATAATTTAGGAATGATAGATGATCTTATGCTTAAAACAGTCAATGGGAAATCTCAGATGAGTGGTACCAATAATCCCTTTCCTTCCCTTTATCCCAGAGGGAAATATGCAGAATTACCTATAGGGAGATGTGCAGAATTTGTGGTTCCCAACATTGATTTCCACAGTGGTTTCACCAGTCTACACTCCCACCAACAGTGGAGAAAAGTTCCTTTTTCCACACAGCCCCGGCGGTTAAATTTTTCCATATATTTACTTGCCATTTCTACTTCTTCATCTGAGAAGTATATATTCACTTCTTCAGATGCCAATTTTTGGATTGGGTCTTTAAATTTGGAATGTCTGATATTTTTGAGTTCTTTATATATATTCTAGATAGTAGTCCTTAATCTGAGATGCAGATGGCAAAATTTTTTTTCCACACTTGGGTTTTCTCTTCAGTTTGTTGGTGGTGGTTGTTGCTATTCAAAAAATTTTTAGTAAGATTAAATCCAGGTTGTTGGTTCTTTGTGGTATTTCCTGTGTAATCGGGGTTTTGTTCATAAAGTTTTTGCCTATACCTAATCCTTCAAGAGTTAGCCATTCTGTTTTCCAATAGATTTACTGTTCTGTTTTAATATTTAGATCTTTGATTCATTTTATTTTTTAGTGCATAGTAAAAGACAGGGATTTAGTTTTAATCTTTGGCATGTGGAAAGACAGTTTTTCCAGTACCATTTATTAATTAAAGAGTCTTATCTTTCCTCCAGTGAAGGTGATTGGCTTCTTTGTCAAAGATAAGGTGGCTGAGCATGTTTGGAGTTGTTCCTAAGTATTCTAGTATGTTGCATTGATCTTCAGGTCTGTTATTTTGCTGTTACCATGTTTTTTAAACACAGTAGTTTTGTCATACGATTTCAAGTCAGAAATTGTGATGCCCCCTGCCTTTGGTGGCTGGCATTAGTTTTGCTTTGTAGGTCTCTTCTGGTTCCACACATTTAGGAGTATTTTCTCTAATTCTGTGAGGTATGCTATTGGTATTTTGATTGGGATTGCATTAAATCTGTATAACAATTTTGGAAGTGTGGACAGTTTCACTATATTCATTCTTCCTACACAAGAACAGGGATATTGTTCCATGTTCTGATATCTTCTTCAGTCTACTTTTTGTATTTTTCAATATAAAGGTCTTTTACTGCATTAGATTGATTCCTAGGTATTTCGTCTTTTGAGATGCTAATGTGAAAGTTATTCCCCTGGTTTCTCTCAGTGAGTTTGTTATTTGTGTATAGAAATTGACTTTTGAGTGTTGACTTTGTATCCAGGTATTCTACTAAATTTGGCCATTGAATCCGGAGGTGTTTTGGTAGTTTTTTTTTTTTTGAGTCTATGTAGAGTAGCGTGCCATTTGCAAATAATGATAATTTTACTTCTTTCCTCCCTATCCTTATTTCTTTCTCTTCTCTAATTGCTCAGGCTAATGTTTCCAGAACTATATTGAATAAGAGTAGTGACAGCAAAATACTTGTCTTGTTTCTAATTTTAAAGTGAAAGCTTTCACTTTCTGTCCATTTAGTATGATGTTATCTGTTGGTTTGTCATAGGTGGCTTGTACCAGATTGAAATAAAGACTAATCCTATTTTCTGTAAGGTTTTGATCATAAATGGGTATTGATTTGTGAAAAGCTTTTTCTGCATCTATTAAGATAGTTCTATGGTTTTTGTCCTTGAGTCTGTTAATATGGTATATTACATTTATTGACTTAAACATATTGAGCCATCTCTGCATCCCTGGGATGAATCCGATTCGTCATGGTGTATAATTTTTTGATGATTTGATCCTGTTATGGATTAAAGACATAGTGAACTTAATACCAGCTAAATTAAATCACCATGGTGCTGAACATAGATGGTCCACCTGAAGAAAGTTGCCAGCATAAATAGAAATGTGGAGAAGGAGAAAGGAGGTGTTGTGGCTTCCGCTAAGTGTTGCTGTTTGAGCTGTTGGTTCTGCTGGAGGAGTTCATTATGACTAGCTTCCCCAGTGTGAGTTCGACCATTGTCATTGGAGGAGCTTGGGACCTTGTTGGTGAGAGTGGCTGTGGTTTACTTTAGGGGAGCTCTGGTCCTTACATCTAGCATTGCTTCCGGGCTCCAATGGGGAGGGCGCATACCTTGTAATTTTCAGGACAAACTCCTCATGCTGGCTTTCTGGCATGTACTCAACTGTTCTTATTGTTGGAGGAGTTTGGGACTGCCGTGTTGCTGAGGATGTCTGTGGTGCTTTTCAGAACAACCCTGATCTGTATTATGAGAGTGACTTCCTGGCTCTGGTGTAGAACCCTCAACCTGCCAGCACATCTCCTTCATCCTGTTGGCATAGACTATCTAGATTCCACCGCTGACCTTTGGGTCTTCCCAGCGTGGATCTATAAAACAGACTGGCATGTGTCCTTTTTGTGGGCTCTAGACCTCCAGCTGGACTTGTGGGAGGCATTGTCATGGGCTCTAGGTTTTCATCTGGACTCATGCAGGACATTGCTATGGGATCCAGGCCCTTGGCTGAATATTCTGTCTTTAGTGTTGTGGATAGATTTCCTACACTTTCTTATGTTTTACTCTGGGTGACCATCATAAAATAGTATTATAAATTCTGTGTCCTGATTCTAACTGTTCTCCTCACAACTCCTGAATACAACAGATGCGTTCTGTTTGCTATTATGTTACTGAGAATTTTTGCATCTATGTTTATTAGAGACATTGGCCTAAAGCTCTCTTTCTTAGTTGGATTATTTCTTTGGTTTTAGTATCAGGATAATGCTTGCTTCCAGGAATGAATCTGGCAGAATTACTTCCCTTTCAATTTCATTACAGAATTTGAGAAGTAGTGGTACTAGGTCTTCTTCAAATTTAATGTAGAATTCAGTAGTGAATCTGTCAGAGTCTGGGCTTTCTTGTGTTGGTAGGTTTTTAATTATATCTTCAATTTCATTGATTGATACTGGCTTAGTTAGGATTTTATACCTTCTTGATTCAGCTTTGGTAATTCACACATATTTAGGAATCTCTTCATTTCTTCTGCATTTTCTAACTTATTAGAATATAGGTCTCAGCGTATGTATTGATGATCTGAATTTCCACAGGGTCTGTTGTGATTTCACCCTTTTCATTCCTAATTTCATGGAGTTGAGTTTTTTCTTCTTTTTTTTGATAAGATTGGCTAAGAGTTTGCCAATTTTATTTAATCTTGCAAAGAACCAACTCTTAGATTGATTCTTTGTGTTTTCTTTTAGTCTCCAGTGTGTTAATCTCGGCTCTGATTTTATAATTTCCTCCCTCATACAAACTTTTGGCTTAGCCTACTCTTTTTTTTTCTGGAAGTTTAAGGTTCACCATTAAGTTGTTTATTTGCAATTGCTGTGTTTTTCTGGTATGGATATTCACTGCTATAAATTCCCTTGTAGGACTGCTTTCATCATGTCCTATAAGCTCTGGTATGTTGTATTGTCATTATCATTTAATTGTAGAAACTGTCTAATTTCTTCTTTAATTTCATCTATGACCCATTGATTGTTCAGGAGGGTGCTATTTAATTCCCACGTGTTTTTTGTGATTTCTTTTGCCATTGATTTCCAATTTTATTGTACTTTAGTCTGGTAATATGCATGGAATAATTTTAGCTCATTTGCATTTACTTAAGCATTATCTATGAGCTAGTATGTTGTCTGCTTTGAAGAATGTCCCATGTGCAGCTGAGAAGAATGTGTATTTTGATATTGTAAGGTGGAACACTCTTTAAACATCTCCTAAGTCTGTTTGTTCAAATGTTTGGTTCAGTTCCAGTATTTAGTTATTGGTTTTTTCTAGTTGATCTGGTTTTTTATGCCAGGGGGTTTTGAGATCCCCCAATACAATTGTATCTGAGATTATTTGATTTTTTATGCTCATTAATATTTGTTTTATATAGTTGGGTGCACTGGTATTTGTTGTATATATATTTATGATTTTATCTCTTCTTGAATTGTTCCTTTTACAAGGATGTAGTGACCTTCTTTGTGTCTCATAATCAGTCTTGGCTTGAAATTCACTTTGCTTGCTTTTTTTCTGGGTTCCTATCTCATGGAGCATTGTTTTCCATCCTTTGATGTTCAGACTATAAATTTCTTTTTGAATTAAATGTGTTTATTGTATGCAACATATTGTTGGATCTTGCTTCTTGATCATTCTGCCAGTCTGTGTCTTTTGATCAGTGAATTGAGATCATTAACATTGATGGTTATTACTGATAGGTATTGGCTTATTCTTGTCAATGGAATATTTAGTCTCCTGGATATCTGTTTGAATCTGTTTCATGGATTCCATTTCTTTCCTATGTTGGGCGGTCATAGTTTCCATCATTTTCCTAAGCTCCTCTATTTTTCTAAATAAATCTGTATCTTCCCCAGATTCACTAATCATGCCCTTCATTGTAGTCATCATCTCTATATCTCTATAGGTATCTGAGGAATTCTTTCTTTCTTTTTTTTTTTTTTTGTCTTTTTCATTTTTATCAGGTCCAGGGATCGAACTCATGACTGCCTGCTTGCAAGGCAGGCGCTTATGCCGCTGAGCTAAATCCCCAGCCCCTGAGGAATTATTTCTTATTTGGGTTTTTCTGTAGCCTCATTCCCTTGCGTTCTTGCTTTCACTGTTACTACTTTAGAGAGTTTAGGGGTGGCTTAAGAATTGTTCCACCAGATTTTTCCCTGGGTTTGGTGAGTTGAAAATCTGCTGTTAAATCTTACTAAAGTGTCTTCTAATTTTCTGTTTTATTGTTTTTTCAGTTTCATTCCTATGTTGATGCTTGTAAGTTGTTTATGCCAAGTATCTTTTATTACTAGTATTGAGAGCCATTAGGAAATGACTGTTTCTCTGAGATGTCTACAAGATGTAGCTTGTTTTGGCTGTTGAGTCTTTTGCAAGATCCTACCTCTTCAATTTACTTAGGATGAGAAATTGCTGTCTATTTTACTCAATTCATGAAGAAGATAAAAGTTGCAAGAGATAAAAGCTTACTTTTCAGAACAAAGCTGGTTTCAGGAAATTTCACCTGAAATCAGCATTAAAATTTATTACCTACTCCCATTGTGAACTGTGGTCTACGAAAACTTCTCAGGTGTTCACCTATAAAATAATACCAAGATAATTTCCAGATGTCCAGCAAAGAAGTAAAAACTGTTCCTAAAAGTACAAGAGATGCAATCAGAGACACAGAATATGAAAAAGTTTTGAAACATTATAAGACAATGTTAAAACAAGAGAAAAATAACTATAACTGTTGGGAGCCGCAGCCCCGAGCCCGGTCGCCTTACTTGGCGGACGTGAGGCCTGTGGTAAAGAGCAAAGCCTGAGTTAGATTACCCCTCCCATCGAGCACGTTAGTTTCCTGCTTACCGCGTAAGCAACCCGCTCAACAATATAGTCTGCCTGGCAACTGATGATGTTAGCCAATCAGCTTGCCTTGCTTACTTTAACATGATTGGACACTGTATCCGTATATATACTGGTGCCACCCCTGGGGGGGAAGAAGAAGCCCGGAAGTAGAAGCCTAGAAGGAGCCGCGGGGAGCGGACCAAAGGAGGCTTCGGCTGGGAGCGATCCCAGGGCAGGCTGTACGGAGAAGAAAAATAAAAGAAAAGGTTGTCCACTGCCAGACTTTGTCGTGTGTCCTTCCTGCCGGCCGGGAGCGACATCGACATTTGGAGGCCCGCACGGGGACTGATCACCCCCGAGACGTGACAGCGGACAACGCTCCAGTACAGAGCTGCGAGACAGGTGAGTTGGGGATAAGCCTGGGCTCTGGGTGGCGCGCACCTACAGGGCTTTTAGACTCCCCTCAGGCTCACGCGTAAGTGGCGGATTCCTTGGGCCTCACGCGGTGAGTAACATATTAAAAGATGGGAAACATGCTAGGTAGCAACACTAAGAGCGAGGGTGGTTGTGGAGAAAGCTCTCAAGAGCTTACAAAAGTACGCAGGGTATTTGAGCAGGCCCAGTCGGGGAGCTCCCGAGAGGGGCCCGTCAAAGGGAACAAAGATGCTAAGGAGAAGGACGGGGCTCTAGCCTCGGAGTCGTCTGACTCCGAGGACGAGGGAAAGTTGAATGGCAAGGAGGCCAAAGAGACCAGCTGTCAGGAGCCTAAGTCGCTCGATAAGGAGTCGCAGGGTTCTTTCCCAGCGTTGCGCCGTGAATTGCGCTCCGCTCAACTTGGTCTGCGGAGGAGTAGGGAGCTCCTGAGCGCTCCCCGGCGCGAGAGGGAGGCGAAGCCTTCCGCCCCACCTTGGGGGCTGTTCCCGGAGGCGATCCCTCGCCGCGAGGCGGCCGCCCGGGAGCTCCCTTCCCCTTCGCCAGAACAGGAAGTGATGCACGGGCCCCCATTTTCCGCCCAATCATGGCCGCCGTCTTATGCTCCGCCGCCGGCGGGTCGGTATTTTTACAGGCGGCTTTGGCAGGGGGGACGTTTGTCTCATGAGGTACATCCACCACCTGGGATAGATAGTGGCCCCTACGGGATATTTCCTGTACAAGTAGCTATGGGCCAGGGACGTAATGCATGGGAGCCTTTTGAGATAAAGCAGATTAGAGAACTTAAAAATGCAGTTACAACCTTTGGGCCGACTGCGCCTTACACCATTGCCATGCTGGAGAACCTGTCTTCTGGGCCCCTCACCCCCGCGGACTGGATTCAGCTGGCAAAGGCGTGTCTGCCCTCGGGTAGTTACCTGGATTGGCGAGCCTGGTACACAGAGTTCTCTGCCGAGCAGGCTGAGAAAAACGCCGGTCGAGGAAATGGGAGCTGGGGATTTAGCTTAGCGGCATAAGCGCCTGCCTTGTAAGCAGGCAATCGCCAGTTCGATCCCTGGTACCAATAAAAAAAAAAAAAAAAAAAAAAAAAAAAACGAAAAAGATAAAAATAAAAAATAAAAAATAAAAAACAAAAAGGGGGAGTAAGCCAAGGCCTGCCTCCAAAGGCGCGGTTATCTATGACAGGACAATGGATGGGCCCGGATCCAGTGGTCAGCTGGAACCGAGGCACGGTTTGTGTTTTCCCACAGGAATCGGGACGAGAACCACTGTGGGTACCGGAGAGACTGACACGGGCGACAAAGCCCTCGACTGAAGATCAGACCTGCCCTACCGGAGATCCATCACAGACCAACCAACAAGATGAATAGAAATAGCGGTAGCCCAAAATGGACAAAAAGATCCTCAGGCATATGCATGGCTCGCTCGCCTAGCCTACGACCGAGTCTAGGGGCGGTGAGCTTCCCACACTCCTCCTCTAAAAAATTATGACATAGCTGGGTAGGAGAGTCAATGACGGGTAAGAGCGTACTCCCCCGGTGCGACTCAACCTAAGCCAGGCCCTACCCCATCCTGCACGTAAGCCGCTGGACTGTTAGATGCTGCCCAGGTCTAAATTTCTCTCCGAGGGGATTTCTTTACGGAGAGAAAATGAGTGCAAGCTTGTGTGCATCCAGGTTCCGTCCAGTTTGTGCCTGGCCCTAGAAAAAGGACGAGGGCCTCAGGGCCTTGACAGACCATGGGACGGCCGACCAGGGTCTAAGCCAAGGACCTACGGTGGGCCTACACATAGGGCATAAGCCTCTGCACCCAGTCCAGGAAGGGCTACGATGCGCACATTCATAAAAAATAAAAAAGGGGGAGATGTTGGGAGCCGCAGCCCCGAGCCCGGTCGCCTTACTTGGCGGACGTGAGGCCTGTGGTAAAGAGCAAAGCCTGAGTTAGATTACCCCTCCCATCGAGCGCATTAGTTTCCTGCTTACCGCGTAAGCAACCCGCTCAACAATATAGTCTGCCTGGCAACTGATGATGTTAGCCAATCAGCTTGCCTTGCTTACTTTAACATGATTGGACACTGTATCCGTATATATACTGGTGCCACCCCTGGGGGGGAAGAAGAAGCCCGGAAGTAGAAGCCTAGAAGGAGCCGCGGGGAGCGGACCAAAGGAGGCTTCGGCTGGGAGCGATCCCAGGGCAGGCTGTACGGAGAAGGAAAATAAAAGAAAAGGTTGTCCACTGCCAGACTTTGTCGTGTGTCCTTCCTGCCGGCCGGGAGCGACATCGACATATAACATCTTGTTGTTTTTCAGTGTTGCTGCTTCTGATCAGGTTGAGCATGCATATAAGAAAGCTATGGAACAATAGCCAGACCAGTTACACTTGGCAGGGGTGAGACTGCCTGCTTGAGAAGTGTAATCAAATGACGGCTAAAGGTGACTTATCAGGTATTTACCCAAAGCTCCTAGATGTTTAGGAAAGTGTTGATAAAGAGAAGTGGTGTGATGTCTGCAAGGGGCTTGTAGACCTGTATCACCAAGAAATGAAACACCTAGAGCTGGTTCAAACATGGCACACAATGACTAAGACAAAGCAGAAAAAAAAGTGTAGACAACCAAGAACTTCACCAGCTATGGAGGCAATAGACTCAGTTTCTGGCAGAGTACAGAGGTTCAGAATAATGAAACCCAGCAATCGCTTTTGACTACATTTGAGAATGCACTGGGCTTATCAGATCAGATTCCTAGTAAAGGTCACCAGCTATTTTACAGGTATTCATATTCAGTTTTTACCCAAATTTTCTCATGAGTTTGCTACACAGGTCAGTGAAGGAATGATAAACCTCTGTCCCACACAGTATCCACTAGAAGTGCTTTGTTTGCATTTAGTTGAGTTAGGATATGTTCCTGATGAGGGACAGAAGTATTTTTGTAACCTAGTAGAGTTGAATTCAAAAAGTGGTCCAGGGATCATGGGCATAGACATTAAAGCATTGTAAGATAAACATGTATGAAGAGACTGTAGGAACCTAACAGAGGGTTAAAGGAAAGCTCTCTGCACACATGGATGGTATCATCTGGCAGAAGCCCAAGTCAAAATGCATAAACTCATCTTATTTAATGTGCCAGATTGGACAAGCTCTTGGACGGTATTTTTTTCTTCTTTTTTTGGTAATGGCGATCAAACTCATGACCTCACACTTGCCAGGCAGGCACTTATGCCACTGAACTAAATCCCAACAAGAGCCCCTGGACAAGCTCTTGTTGCAGAGACAATGAGAAGTTATGACACCGTGGCTCTCTCCAGATGGACTATAGAACTCAGCCTGCATACTGAAGGAGCAATAATTTATGCACATGGAGTCTGCACAACATTGCAGGATAAAAGCAACAAAGAAACAGAGCTGTGCTGGTTCAACATCCTCCAGATGAATGCCATTCCAGTATCACAAGTTGTTCTGTGTAAATACGTGGAAAGAATTTAGAATTATGCTCCAGCTTTCACAAGGTTTGGTTACTTGAATGAACACTTGGAACTGAAAAATGAAGCAGCAGATGTATACCAAAGCGCAATTTTGTTGTTACAGTCTGCAGAACACTGAGATACTTGTAGTGTTACTGTAAGAAATTATGGCAGGTGGTTATGTTCTAATGGTGACTATCATGAAGCTATCCAGGTTTTTAAGTCAACACCCACTGAAGAGTTAGAAGACAGCATAGGTTTCACATTGGCTTTATTTATGAAGGTGCTATATGCAGAGAGCAGCAAAGCCTATGAGAGAACTTTGTCTACTGAATTCCAGCAAAACAAAGCAGTTTCTTAATAGCTGTGAGAGTAACAGAATATAAATAAGGAAAAATGTATGTAGCTGAGTCACTGCTATTCAAATGCTCTATATTAAGAGAACCAGCCACAGAAAGCCTTCAGAACATCTGTGCTCTGGGGATGGCAGTGGGGAGGATGTTACATTGTCAGAAGCAGCACTTATTGAACTACTGAAGCATTTCAAACACAAAAGCCACTTACCATCTAAGGTGCCTTCATACAGTCTACCCCACTGCAAGGCTGCCCTGCGGCCGTGCAGAGACAAGCATCTAAAGCTGTTCACAGTAACCTAGCTGACCCAGCCCTTCAGGCTTTGTTGTTCCAAGTTGTTGCTCGGTGAAATGCAAAGGTAGGTGCTGTAGCAGGAAATGTGGCTCATATTCTGGATTCAGGTCATGGAAAGAAGGCATCACTACAGTGAATCAGTTGGCAGCAGGAAGCAGTTTAACAGAAGGTGAAAAAAATATTGCACCAAAGAGCATTCAGAAGACTGCTCTTCTTTTTCTGGGTGACCCTGCTGTCTGGGCCCAGCTGATGGCAGCCTGTCATGCAGATGGCAAACTGGTTCTTGTGAACAACACTCAGCCCAAGAGGATGGATTTATAGTTGGTACTGTTAGCTACTGTTTTTCTGCTTTAATTAAGGACAAATAATTTCTTGAAGCTCACAAGCAATCTCTTGAAAAGTCGTGTCTTTCACAAGCTGCCATTGGTCAACTAGATACCGGAATAATAGCTGAAACTGAATCTCTGTACAAAGAACGTGAAAAGTATCCCTAATCATCTGGCTATTACCTTACTTTTAAGTCAAGTTCAGTGTAAATCACTCCTAGAGTCACAAAAGCTGCTCCAGGATGCTGTACTTAAAGAACTACAAAAAATAGTCACGCCCAATGCCGTGTACTTATAATCATAATAATACAGAGAGATCTTCAGTAGCCTACAGTCTAATGGTAACTTCTTGCACCACTTAAAATATTATGACCAGGAAATTTACATCAATGCAGCCCACTGATTTTATTTAGATTTCACCAGTTTTATATCCATTTGTGTGCATTTAGTTTTATGCTATTTTGTCATATATGTAAGTGTGTGTGACCACCAAGACAAGCAAGGTAAGAGAAAAGTTCAGAGATAAGCTCTTATTATATGATTTTATAACCACAGTGGCCTTTTTAGGCCCTTCCCTTGTTGTGTACATCAAAAGTTGGGGTTTTTGGGGAGGGCTAAGCAGCACCCCATGTTATGTATTTACTACAGTAGGTTTAAAACTATTCATCTGCTGAAATATGTTTGGGCTATTTTTAGATCTTATGAATAAAGCTACTGCAGATACTTGTGTTCAGGTTTATGTGTGAACATGGTTTCCTTTTTTCTGTGATAAAAGCCTAAAAGTGGAGTTGCTGGGTCAGATAGATGTATAACGGTAGATGGACGTAATGTTGTAAAAAATTGCCACTTCTTGTCCAGAGTGTCTATATTACTGACAGCGTATAGGTCAGCCACTTGTTCTGCATTCTCACCGACATTTGATGTTATCACTGTTTTTATTTTAGCCATTCTGATAGATGCATAGTGCTGTCCCGTTGTGGCTTCACTAATGTCTAGTGATAGTGAACATCTTACGTGTGCTAATTTGTCATCCTTCATATTTTCTTCAGGAGATATATGGTCATGTATTGTACCCATGTTGCAGTTATATCATTTGTTTTTAATATTTTTGAGAGTTTTAATAAGTATATGTTGCACATACAAGCCTTTATTAGATTTGTAGTTTGGTCATTTTTCCTCCCAGTTTTTCACTTATTTTTAAAAAGACCTCTATTAAGGGTTTTAATTTTTTTCTTTTCTTTTTGAGATGGAGTTTTACCATACAGTTCAGGCTGGCCTTGAAATCACAGCAGCCCTCCTGCCTCAGTCTCCCGAGTGCCAGGAATCTAGGCATGTGCCACCACACTGGCTTTATTAGAGTTTCTCATAGAGAAACAGTTTTAAAATTTGAAGTGGTCCAGCTTGTCAGTATTTTATGTTACAGATTATGCTTTTGGTGACAAGTCTAAAAACTCTTTGCATGTGCTGATATTCCAAAGACTTTTCTTATGATTTCGAAATCAGATTTGTAGTTTTATGTTTTACAAGAGTCAAAGACCTGCTTTGAGATTAAATTTTGTATTGGATGTGAGATTTAGGTGGAAGTTCATCTTTCTATAGATGCATGTCTAATTGTTCTAACTCTATGTGTCGCTTTACTGGTTTACTAGTTTTTGTGACTTTGACAAAAATTAGTTGGGTATATTTGTGTGAGTCCATTTCTGTTTTTTAAAATTCTGTTCCATTTATTTATGTATCACTCTGCCAACGTTGCAGTGTCTTGATTAGTGTAATGATATAGTGTTGCAGCTGTATCATATACAAAAAGAAATTCCTATCATAGATCTATCCTTAGAATGTTTTGTTTCACCCTGAGCTGTAAGGTTGGCCCTTAGCGGGCATCTGAGAAGTAAGATTTCAGATGATCATTTTCTAACTGATAACAGTGGCTTGCTGTGCCTAATTTGTACAAACAGTAATGGTTTATGCTGAACATCTGCTTTCCTTTTGGGAGTCTGGACTTTTGATAAATGCTATGTGGAGTATGTCTATGTGGCTGGCTCCCAGGAAAAATCCTGGACATTGAGAGTTTTATGAGACTCCTTGGTAGACAACATTTCACATGTATAATCAGAACCAGTGACTGGAGGAATGTGACCCAAGGAGAGACTTTCTGAGGCTTATGTCTGGCTTCCTCCAAATTTCTCCCCATGTATCCTTTCCTTTTGCTGATTTCTTTTTATATCCTTACACTGTAATAAGTCATAATCTAGAGTATGACTGTATGCACAGTCCTGAGAGTAGCCTTGGAAAATCACCAAATTTGGGGCTGGTCTTGGTGGTCGCGGGTACAGCAATTTCATTTTTCTTTTTCATATTTGTCCTGTGCCTTTCCTTTACACACTTTAGAATAAAGTTATTTATATCCCTAACAATTTTGTTAGGGTTTTGACAGGAATTGCATTAAATCTATAGAATAATTTGGGGTGAAATAACATTGTTACTATATTGAGTCTTCAAATTTAGTAATACAGTATGGCTCATTTTTTTTTTTAAAGAGAATACAACAAAAGAAAACAAAACGGGACAAAGCAGATCAAAACAAAACAATGCAAGCAACATAGGATTTCAAAACAAAACAACAGAAAATCATCTTATTTTCTTTGAAATAGGTGTCCATATCCTCACCCACAATGAATTAAATAAACAAAATAGTATAAAACTGGGGCTGGGGATTTAGCTCAGCAGCATAAGCGCCTGCCTTGTAAGCAGGCAGTCGTGAGTTTGATCCCTGGTACCGATAAAAATGAAAAAGACAAAAAAAAATAG